CAGATGTGAAGTATTCTATAAATACAAGGCATTGTTATTAAGTAATCACTTTACTTTCAACTGGTAAATAAGGAGGTAGAGCCTTATTATTATTCTCAAATAATTTGTAATTAACTGAGATAAAACAGGGTGAAGACTAGTTTAATTTTCAAGAGAGAACGCTGGTCTGAGAATACGTTTTTAGAGCTGCTTTTAGAAGTCAACCTGTCCTTACTTGTGAAGGCTTTTGTTAGGCCTCCCTTCCCCACAGTTCATATAGGTCAGTTAGGCTTGGTGGAGATTTTAAAAGCTTAATTAGCTTGTTTAAAAACCTAGTTTTCTGTATGTTGACCTATGATATATTTATTCTTTTATGTCAGCAGAGCTCTCTTATTAAGCCTAAAACTTTAATATGGATTATTTTGCTTGAAAGGTCCTTTTTTGTAGAGTATGACTTGAAGTAACTCTAGTAGTTGAAAATTTGGATAAATTATTTCTTAAAGGAAAAGAAAAAACTCTACCTTCATTTAGTTCCAATATTTGATTAATACATAACTTCAGAAATTCTGCAAACCCGCGTACTTGGTATTTGTTTACCTGCCTAACTGGCCTTGTGTTTGATAAATACTTTTTCTATAATTTGAGTGCTCTAACTTAGTTTATAGTCTGGCATATATTTAATGCTCACTTTCTTTCCTTTGTTCTTCCTTACTGGTGAGAGATTGCATGGGAAGGGCACACCAACCATATGGTTTAAGAAGTAGCATGATGAGTACATGAGGAAGCTCTCTTGAGTATCTGCTAACTTCTCTAGGGTGTGGCCATGGGGTCTGGTGTAGTGTTGGATGCTAAATCATGGACTTAATATAAAAATTGGTCTAGGATAATTAAAATTTCTGGTACTCTGGTAGGAGCAAACCTGAAATAGCTCTGTAGGGATACATATACAACTCAGGCCTTGCAGGATTCCCACATTGGGGAGTGGGTTAGGGACACGAGCTTTCTGTCCAGAATTACAAACTTCATAAAGAAATAAGCCATAATGAACTGAAAATAGTAGAATAATTTCATAGTGATATAAAAGAAACCTTATAGGGATAAAAGAAGAATTCAAAACAAATTATAAAATAGCATAGCATTATTAAAAAACATTTTTTAAAAATCCAAAAAGGAATTTCTAGAAATAAAAATATATAATCGTTGAAATTTTAAACTACTGGAGAGGTAAAACATTAAAAACAACTGGAGAGAATTAATGAGTAAAGGAATCTTGCACAGAGAACTAAAGAGATGGAAAATATAAAAAAGTAGGCATGGATTAGAGAATAAGATATCCAGTATGTATCTAATAAGAATTGCTGAGTGAAGAGAGAGACTGGGAAAGAGTCAATGGCTAATAATTTTCCAGAGTTTAAGAAAAGCATGAGTCTTCAGAATAAGGAAGCTTACCAAATCCTGAACAAGATAAATAAAAGAAAATCTGAAAAACACCAAAAAAAAAGAAAAAGATTCTTAAAGGAAAGCAGAGAGAAAAGGCAGATTACCTCAGAGAAATGAGTTAGATTGACAACAGACTTGTCAACAGCAGTAACAGATGCCAGGAAAAAATTAATATCTTTCCAGTGCTGAGGGAATACGATCAATTTAGAATTCTGTGTACAACTAAATTATTACTTAATGAAAAAAAGAAGTATTCACTGGAAAGATATAACAATTTTAAACTTATGCTCACTTAATAACATAGCCTAAAAGCCTATAAATAAAAAACCAGCAATTTACAAGAAGAAGTTAACATCCACAATCATACTTGGGAAAATTTAATACATTTTTTCTCAAATTGATTAAGTAGACTAAAATGAGTGATACTGGAGAGACTATAAACAAAACGTTAAGTATTTGGTCTAGCTTGAACTAATGATCAAGCTTTGATCTAATGATCAAAATGCAGAAAATACATTATTTTCATTTATACCTGGAACAGTCAAAAAAGAAACTAAACTTTCCAAGTACTAAATATAAAGGAGTTTTTTTTTTTGGTGAGAAAGATTAGCTCTGAGCTAACATCTCTTGCCAATCTTCCTGTTTGTTTGCTTGAGGAGGAGTACCCCTGAGCTAACATCTGTGCCATTCTTCCTCTATTTTGTATGTGGGATGCTGCCACAGCATAGCTTGACAGGTGGTGTACGTCTGTGCCTGGGATCTGAACCCACGAACCTGGGCCACCGAAGTGGAGTGCGCTGGACTTAATCACTATGCCATGGGGCCAGCCCTTATAAAGGAAGTTTTAATGAATTCTTTGACTATAGTGTAATAAACTTAGAAATAAATAATAAAAAGATGGCACTCTGCCCCCAGGCCTCTAACCATTCCATTTGAAAACTTAAAGAAAATTTTTCTTAGTGGTGATTAGAAATCATAATTGGAAAATGAAACATTTAGAGCTAAACATCATGAAAAAACTATGTATAAAAACCTGTGTGGGAAACTACTAAAGTGATACTTAGGAAAATGGTATAGTTTCAAATAGAAGGCAAGACAGTTTTCTCAAAAAATATTGCCCAGAAAAGGAGATTTATATTTGTTTTCTTAGGAGCTGTCTCATTGCAAGATGCTCTCTGTCTCTTGAGTGTAAAAGTACTGTTTGGGACAGGCATGTTGATCTGAAATGCTTTTTGTACATGTGAGTTCAGAAAGCTCACAGACCTCATCTGATAAGTGATTTAAACATAGAGAGGCAAAGAAATCTAGAGCAGATCTGGTTAAAAAATAAAAAATCACTTAAAATAGAGTATAGTGGTATAGTGGTTACACTATAGGTATTAAAATATATTCCAAGAATACAAATAGGAAAAAAAAGTCCTAATGTTTTATATAAATGGGTAGTTGTGTCTTGGGATAAAAATTTTAGAGTGAAATACACTAATTCAAAAAGTGCTTGTGTAATCTGGGAAATTTACTGTGATTCAAAAAGTTCTGATATAAAACCCTCATGTCTCATATGTATGAGGAGTTGGAAGAAAATTGTTCTCTGAAATATGAGATAAAGCAAACAATATTCTGAATCAATATTTTTTATAGATCATGTGTTTTTAGTATTTAAGAAAGTAAGAAAAAGAAACAAGATTGGAAATTACTTAGGTGAACTTTCAATTTTAAGGATTAGAAAATGAGCCACAGAGTAAAGCCAACTAGTAAGAAAGAAAAATGATGAGGAAAAGGACAGACATTAATAAAAGAGAAAAATAAAAGAAACAGAAGATCAGTGTAACTGAAAGCTGGCTTTTAGACCAATAAGCTAAGCAACTTCTGGCAGGATTAATCAAGCAAAAGCAAAAGCAAAAATTAACATTATTAGGAATGAAAAGAGGATCATAACTGCAGATGTAGTAGAGATATAAAAAAATAATGAGAGAATACTATGAATAACTTTCTAGAAATATGTCACCAAGACGTGTAGAAAAGCAGATTTTGCTATGGAGTAGAGATTTAAGTGTTTTGGCCATGTTATGTTTGAGATAATCTTTAGATCTTGGGCAAGCTGAGTTAGCCAAGCAAGTCCTGGAGATATGGATTTGGGAGTTACTGGCTTATAAATGATGTGAAAAGCAGGTCAATTTGGAGGGTGTTTTAAGACCTGAGATGATAATGGTCTGAACTACGACAATGGTAGTGGGATGAAAAGAGAATATAGAATTAGATATGATGGAAGTACATTAAAGTTCATTAAAGGTTCATTAAAGTAAGTGACTGCAGGAAGGGACTGTCTGGCTTATCATTGCCTAGCTGAGGGTTAAGGAAATAAGAAGAGTTAGGAAATGAGGAGTTTAATCCTTACCAACTGACTTTCATAGCCCAGTGTATTAGATAAAAAATATCTCAGGAGCAAGTTTTCTCCATAGAAAGGTTTATTGGCATGTGATTGAGTAAAATTCAGAGAAATGACCTTACTTCAATGTTTCATTTTTATTTCAATTTGGAGAACTTTCAGTTTTGTTAATTATGGCATCTTAAAAAGCAATTAATAATATAGTATTAAACACAAAACTAATTGTGTATTAATTTAGTTGATGCTAGTATAACGAATAAAGTTTCTTGGCAGAGATATCAATATAAGCTGATTTTCAAGTAATAATCTAATATGCTTCTCACTATAGATTTTCAAATTGGAACGATAATCATTTTTTCTGGACAACTAATAATGATTAAGAATGTTAGATCTTTCGGTAGATTCGGAAGGGGAAAAACCAACTTTGTTAGATGCTTGTAAGAACATTTACGCTAAGACAGCATGGTGGTTTTCCTAGATGAGGATTCACTTCTGTTGCTTTGCGGGGGAAGATACAATTTAACCTCGGTCTTAAGGGCAATTCTCAATTTCAGTGACGGCATCTAGCTTGCTGCTAAGAAGTATACAGCTTCCTAGCGTGCAGACTATGGCTGTTTTATACACCGTAGGTGAATAAACTACATATTTTTCTCTTCTCAGATTTTTAAACTCTCAAGAAGAAAAAGTAATTTTCTTTAAAAAGTTATCTTTTTATAGTTTACATTAATCAGAATTTCCTTTTGTCTTTGGCAGTTCATAAAAAAGGTTGAAAAGTGTTCTTGAGTTCATCTCTTTAGAATCTGAATCCTTTATCCTCAGTGTTACTGTCCCTCTCTCTACACCAGGCTGAATGTAAGCGTGAGCCTCACTCAGACAGAGACAGCATTTGAGCCCTCAGCAATCTTGTTTCCTTGCTTTGTGTTGTCTCTAATTAAATTAAAACTTTTAGTTGGTGATCAGTATGTTTATATTGTGTGACTTGAGATGTGTGCTATTTTAAATCACAGCTATAAATATTTTTAGAGAATGTGAAATGATAGAAGACATTGAAAATTAGAATAAAATAAGAGAGCTCTGTTACTTTAAACTCATTTTAAAATGTTTTAATATTTTATTCTATATAAATCGTTAAAATAAAAGCATTATATAAAAAGATAATAGATCAATTTTGCTTTCTTTTTCTTTAGCATAAAGTGACAACAGGATTCATAAAAGTGAAGAAGGTGACAAAAAGAGAAGGAAAATGCCGAAACCAGTAAGTGTATTTTACTTTTGTCGCTACTTACTTGCTGAAATATCAACACTATTGAGTTCCTTTTGGAACAAGGCAAAGAATCATAGTAGACCTGTTGGGAATAAAAAGGCACTGATATTACTGTTATTTGGTTTAGATTAATGTGGCTAGAGCACAGTGTTATGTGGGCCAGTGAAGAACAGGTATAGGTAACACTCTGGTTAGGATTAAAATTCATGTGTTCTGGGATCAGACTGTTATTTCTTATCCTGGCCCTGCCACTTAATTTGAGTGACTTTTGTTAGATTAGTTCTGTCTCTCCAATTCTTAATTTCCTCATATATAAAATGGAGATGTAATTAGTTACTTACTCAAGGGAGTAGGGTGAGAATTAGAAGAATTTGGTACACATTCAGTGCTCAGTAAACAGCAACTTATTGTTAAATAGGAAGGAGTGACTAGAAGTTGGAAGGATCCGTGCATTATTAATTTTCTCATAATTCCATCTTCGATGTTAGTGATACCAATGCTCATGTTATATAGTCTTAGATTTTTTATTTAAGGGTACATGTGTGATCATTTTACTTAGTTTTATAATTATATAGTTCTTGACAAAAGTTTATTCCTTTTGTCTTAGGATAAATGTTCTTACTTCATCTAACAAAATTAGGGTGTTTTTTCAGTGATGTTTCTTTTGGCCAATTATCTTTTTAAGAAAATCATTGGTTGTAGTTACTGGGGTTTTCTAGTATGGATATCGCTTTGAAATTGCTTTAAAGATGCAACAAGTAACAAAGTGTACTTTGTTGGAGGGAGGGAAGAGTAAAAGAAAATGAAAGGCACAAACATCAAAAAGGAAGAAGTAAATTTTTCTATTTGCAGATGATGTGATTGTTTATGTAGAAAATCCTCAGGAATCTACAAAACAACTACTAGGACTAATAAATGAATTTAGCAAGATTGTTGGACGTAAGATTGTATTTTTAAAAATCAGTTGTCTTTTTTATATACTAGCAGCAATATTTGAAAAAGGAAGTAAAAAAATTTCTGTTTCTAACAACATTGACAATATAAAATACTTAGGAATAAATTTACAGAAGCTGTTCAAGATCTCTACATCCAAAACTTGTGAGAAATTAGAGACCTAAATATACAGGAAAATATACGTTCTTCATAGATATGTCTAGGAAATATTATTAAGATGTCAGTTCTCCCCAACTGTAATGGTAGATTGAATGCAATTCCGATCAATTAAATCCCAGCAGGCTTCTTTGGTTAAAATTGACTAGCTGATTGTAAAAATGTATATGGAACTGCCAAAATTTATATGGAGTAGCTAAAGCAATTTTTAAAAAGAACAAAGTTGGAAAACTTACATTCCTGGATTTTAAGACTTATTCACAAGCTACAAAAATAAGACAGTGTGGTATTGGTGAAAAGATAATAGGATCAGTGGAACAAAAATTCACCTACACACATATATTCATTAGAATTTTGACAAGAGTGTCATACAATTCAATGGGGAAATTAAATTCTTTCCAACAAATGGTGTTAGAACAAACAGTTATCCATACAGAAAAACATGAACAGTGACCCTTACCTCACGATTTACACGCAGAAAGATAACTCTAAATGGATCATAGACCAAAATCAAAAGCTTCAAACTATAAAACTGCTAGAAGAAAAGATAAAACATTTTTGGGACCTTGGGGTAGGCCAAGTTTCTTAGATTATACACCAAAAGTTTGAACTATTAAAAAAGTTGGATTTCATCAAAATTAAAAACTTGCTCTTTGAAAGACAGCAGTAAGAAAATGAAAAGGCAAGACAGAATGGGAGAAAATAATTGCAATATAAAGTTCTTTAAGAACTTAGTAAGACAACCCAGGTTTTAAAAAATGGGCAAAAACTTGGAACAGATGCTTCACAAAAGAACATACATTAGTAGCCAAGAAATACATGAAAAGATCCTCAGTGTCTTTAGTTCTCAGGGAAACGAATAAAAACTACAGTGAGACACCACTTTATACTCACTAGAAGGGCTTAAAATAAAGACTGATACTGCTGGTAAGCATGTGGATCAGCTGTAACTCTCATGTATTTCTGGTAGGAATGTGAAAGTTTACAACTACTTTGCAAACTGTCAGTATAATTGAGTGGAGAATATTTATTATTCCTTAGAGTTAAGGATTCAAAATTGTATATACAGTTGGATATAAACTATGTGTTGTTAATGCATACAAATTATGGAAGAAAATTTTTTTTTTTTTGTGAGGAAGATCAGCCCTGAGCTAACATCCATGCTAATCCTCGTCTTTTTGCTGAGGAAGACTGGCTCTGAGCTAACATCTATTGCCAGTCCTTTTTTTTTTTTCTTCTCCCCAAAGCCCCAGTAGATAGTTGTATGTCATAGTTGCACATCCTTCTAGTTGCTGTATGTGGGACACCATCTTAGCATGGCTGGAGAAGCGGTGTGCGCCCGAGATCCGAACCCGGGCTGCCAGTAGTGGAGCGCACGCACTTAACTGCTAAGCCACGGGGCCGGCCCCTGGAAGAAAATATTTTAAGATAGTAATAGTGATGGTTTTTTTTCCTTTAAACTTTTAAGGTTAGACTATAATTAGCCACCCCACCCCCTACCCTCCAACCCCCTGCAAAATAAAGAAGAAAAGAAAGTCTAATTTTTCAAAACACAAATCTTAGAGAAATTTAATTTGATCTCCATGTTTTACGCTGATTCTGTTGGTCACATTTTATACTTATCTTGGTCAAGTCACAACTTCTATAGACATATTTTTTTTTTACTTGTAAAATAAAGTTGATTTAATAATAAGTGCTTTGATTACCTTACCTCAGAGAATTACTGTTAGCATCAAATGAAAAGGCTTTAAAAGTTGCCTTATAGTGCTTTTTTGTTAAGTATACTTATAAGTAATATTTGTATTTTTCATAATGTAATTTATGTTAACATCTAATAGATTTGTTCTTGTTATATTTAAATGAATTAACTATCTTAAAATTTTCTCAGTTTTAATTTCTAATGTGCTAACGTTGACAGACAACCCAGATAAACAAGAGCTTTTTGGGATGCTTAATAATTTTTGAGTGTAGAGAGATCCTGAGACCAAAAAGTTTGAGCACTTCTGGCCTAGAGCATTATTATTGTCTTTATAAAGGCGAATTATTGCGATGTCTGGGTTCCAGCCAGCAGGAAGGGAGGAAATAGCATAGAGAAGCAGGCTCACTGTTTTATGCCTAGGTGCTGAAGTGGCCTATGACTCTTTTGCTCGTGTTCTGTTGATGAGAGCTTAGTCACATAGCCCTACCTAATTGCAAAAGACATTGAGAAATGTTCTGTGGCTCAGTAGCCATATGTCCAACTATAATTCTATTAGATTTTGGTCATTAAACAATAAGCAATATCTGCCACAATCATATGGTTAGTTTAAAAGGAGAAAAGTTGTGGTAAATTCAGAAAGAGCACTTGCTAAAATTGAACAAACTATTAATGATTTAAAAAACAAAAAATAAGCTTAAGCTTATACCTTAAGCTAGGTATAAAAGAAAATCTACAGCGAAAGCTGTTCTTAGTATGTTAATGGTGGAAACATTGCTGTTAAAAATCAGGAACAAGAAAAAAGATAATCACTGCTGCTGTTCAATATTGAACAGGGGAACCTGCACAGAAAAAGAAATCAAAAGCTCAAGGACTGGAAGGGAAGAAACACTGTTTGAAGATGTTAAGATTCTTTGTTTATATCAAGGGTTGGCAAATTATGGCCCATAGACCAAATCCAGCCTGCCACCTGTTTTTGTACAGACTATAAGCTAAGAATGGGTTTTACATTTTCAATGTTTGAAAAAAATTGAAAGGAATAATATTTCACATATGAAATTCAAATTTCAGTGCCCATAAAGTTTTATTGGAGCACAGTATGCTCATTGTTCCTTATCTGTAACTGCTTTGTTGCTGTAGTATCATAGTTGAGTAGATGCAACAGACTGTAAGGTCTGCAAAGCCTAAAATATTTACTCTTTGGCCCTTTACGGAGAAAGTTTTCTAATCCCTGGTTTATATAAACACAAATTTGAAGACTCATTATAACAGTTGGCAAGGGAACTGATAAAAGGATCAATATAAAAATCAATCACATTTCTACCAGATGCAAAACCAGGAAAAATTTTGGAAAGTTATTTTATTAGGTTCACAGTCCTATATTTGAAACCCTTTAGGCTAGATGAGTTTCAGTATTTTGAATATTTTGGATTTTAGAAAGATAAATATACTGTATATTATGTGCATATGTCATTATATCATGAAAATTTTGTCAAGGTCTGTTGCATCACCTCAGAAACATTTCTATAGATAAATGTGAATGAATATTCATTTGAAGTGGGATAAATTAATTCACCAAATAGTCTCACATCACTTAATGTTAAATTTTTGCTAGAAATTAGCTAATAAACTTCAGTTTTCAGTGCTTTTAGAATGTTAAGGGGTTGTGGACCTGTATGTATAATAGCTACAAAACCATAATGATCTAGGGGAAAGATATATAACAAACGATTAATATGATTTTTATGGAGAACATTATAAACACTTTTTTGAAAGATCTTAAGGGAGACCTAAGTTAATGCACAGAGAGAACCATAGTCATGGATAGGAAGAGTCAATGTGGAAAAGTTGTCACTTCTCACCCCAAGAGACTGATAAATTTAGTGTAGTTCCAATTTAAATCATAATGTGGTAATTTGATAAGTGTGCAATTTTATGTGAAGCCAAGAGCAAGAACAAAGAGCCGAGAATAGTCAAAACAGTTCTGAAGATAATGAGGGGAGACTTGCCCTACCACATATCAAGACTTATTTAAAGATAGAGTAATTAAGACAGTATGGTATTGACAGAAGAGTTAAATTGACCAATGCAACAGAATAGAGAGCACAAAATCAGACTCATACCTATTGACATATCATTTGTGACAGAGTAGTCTTTGGAGAGTGAATTAACTAATAATATACTTCATGTGGATATTTTAAATCTCCATATCATTATTCTTACGGGGATTAAAAAATGAAATTGGACCTCTACCTCAAATCATAAGCAAAAATCATTGAAGAAAAATTATGAAAAATAAAACTTTTTAGGAAATATAAGAATATCTCTATCACTCCGGAGTAGGAAAGGATTTCTTAAGTATGGCAAAAAAAATTGATACCTGTATGTAAAACATTGATAAGTTCAACATTAAAATTAAGAATATGTTTACCTTAAAGAAGGACACTTCATAAAGTAGAATGACAGGCTGCAAACTGGGAAAAGATTTTTTTGTAACACAAGTAACTGACAAAGGATTAATATGTAGAATATACTCCTACATGGGAGTAAGAAAAAGCCCAATAGAAAAATAAGCTGTAGATGTAAACAGACATTTCAAAGACGAGGAGACTGAATGGTCAATAAACATACTAGTTTTCTGTTGCTGCATAACAAATTTAGTACCTTAAAACAACACCCATCTATTATCTCACAGTTTTATAGGTTAGAAATATGAGATGATGTCTTGGTTCTCTGCTCAGGGTCTCAACAGCCTGAAATCAAGGTTTAGCCAAGCTGCATTCTCATCTGGTGCTTGGGGTTCTCTTTCAAGCTCATTCCTGAATTTTCAAGCTTAGAATTCATTTTCTTGCGAAATGATCCATCCTTCTTACTGGAGAACGAAGTCCCCATTTTCTTGCTAGCTCTTGGCTAAGGATCACTCTTAACTCTTTTAGGCTGATGTCAGGTCCTTGCCCCATAGCCCCTCCATTTCAGCAGTGGGGAACCTTTTTTGTGTCAATTTCCTCTCGTACTTTGAATCTCTCTGACTTCTGCAACTAGTCACTGAAAATGCTTTGATTTTTTTTGTGTGTGTGTGAGAGGAAGATCAGCCCTGAGCTAACATCCGTGCTAATGCTCTTTTTGCTGAGGAAGACCGGCTCTGAGCTAACATCTATTGCCAATCCTCCTCCTTTTTTTTTTTCCCCAAAGCCCTAGTAGATAGTTGTACGTCACAGTTGCACATCCTTCTAGTTGCTGTATGTGGGACGCGGCCTCATCATGGCCGGAGAAGTGGTGCGTCGGGTGTGTGCCCGGGATCCGATCCCGGGCCGCCAGCAGCCGAGTGCACACACTTAACTGCTAAGCCACAGGGCCGGCCCTGAAAATGCTTTGATTTTAAAGTACTTATGATTAGCTTAGGCCCACCCACACAATCTTTGTATTTTAAGATCAACTGATTAGTAACCTTAAGTACATCTGGAAAATCCCTTTTGTCATGTAGCATAACATAATCATGAGAATAATACCAGAGGATGGAGATCATGGGGGCTGTCTTAGAGTTCTGCATACCACACATATGAAAATGTTCTCAGGCTCATTAGGAACCAGGGATCTGAACACTAAGACTATATTGAGATATTGTTTTATACCCAGTAGCTTGGCAAACATTAAAAACATAATAATACCCACTGTGGGTGAAAATATAGATCAGGAATTCTTATGCACTATTGATGGGGAGAGTGAGTTGATACAATCATGTTGGAAGACAATTCATTGTTACATGGTAAAGTTGAAGGTATGATACTTTATCACGCTGGAATTCTTCTGAGTACATACTTCTAGCGAAACTCAGACGCATGCAATAGGAAACATGTACAAGAATGTTGATAGCAGTGTTGTTAATAGCCAAACAATTGGAAACAATTTAATGTCTATTGACAGGTAATTGGGTAAATACATGATTGTCTAGTCATGTGTAGATATTGTATAGCAGTAATTGCAACTACAGTCATGCGTCGCTTAACTGTGTCTGAGAAATGTGTTAGGCGATTTCATCCTTGTGTGTAGCCTACAACACACCTAGGTTGTGTGGTGCTAATCTTAATGGGACCACGGTTGTATATGTGGTCTGTTGTTGACTGAAGTGTTGTCGTGTGGCCCATGACCATACTCACAAAAACATCAGTGAATCTTAGAAATATAATTTTGAAAAAACAAACTACAGTGTAGTATAATTTCTGTTTAAACTTTTTACAGAAATAGAATATGCACACCCAAAAGAACACGTCATTAGTATGTAGTTGATGACTTTTAATAACGTAAATATCCTCATGTAACCATTGCCCACATCAAGAAAGAACACTTTATTAGCAAGTACTGTACAATTTTAATACGGCTAAAAATCAAGAAAAACAAAATATTTTACATATAGATACCTACATTTGTGATAGAACTATTCTTTTAAAAAAAGCAAGGGAATGACAAACACAAAATTCAGGTTAGTGCTTACCTGTGGGGGATTAGGGACAGAGAAATCACAAAAAAGAAATACACTGGTATAGGCAACATTATTTGTTATTTCTAATTACTAAGTTGGATAGTAGATTTATGGGTAAAGGAAAACTTTTTCTTTACTCACAGAATTTCTGACATCACACCAAGCAATTCTCCACTTCTGTGCAGAAACCAATTGTATGTTCTGCAGTTTAATTCATTCTGACACCAACCACCTGGAGTTAGTGCAGACCCCACACGCTAAGGGCTCAGTTCCACAAGACTGCCCCCCACGTCAGATGCTGGTCACAAGGAATGGGTCCCCAAGTTACCCATACTTCTGTCTTACTTGGCTACAAATTGGGGTTCTCATGATCCCCTCCTCAGGTTCTATACTTTGCTATAACAGATCACCAAACTCAAGGAAACACTTTACTTATTATTACCAGTTCATATAAAGGATATTATTAAGGATACAAATGAAGGATACGGATGAAGAGGAGGTGCATAGGGATAGTCCAGAAGGGTCCTGAGCACAGGAGCTTCTGTCCTTGTAACATTTAAGGTACACCATCCTCTTTGCATGTGGATGCATTCACCAACTTAGAAGTTCTCTGAACCCCTTTGTTTAGGATTTTTATGAATGTTCCATTATGCAGGCGTGATTGATTAAATCATTGTTCGTTGATGATTAATGCAATTCCCATCCTCTGTCCTCTCCTTGGAGTTGGGGTGGGTGGCTCTAATCACATAGTTGGTTCCTCTGGTTACCAGCCCCCATCCTGAAGTTATCTAGGGGCCTATCTAGAGTCACCTCATTAGCATAAACTCAACTATGGTTGTAAGGGGCTTATTATGAATAACAAAAGACGCTCCTCTCAGATCTGTGGTTTAGGAAATCCCAAGGGTTTTAGAAGTTCTGTGCCAGGAACCAGGATGAGGACCAAATATATATTATATCCCTGTAGGTTTCATTTTATTATGCTTCATTGTTTACATATGTTACATCTATTGTTTGTGTGTGTATCAATATTTCCTAATAGATACTATTTTAAAGAAAGATCTGTAAGATTTATTTGATTAGAGAAGGTATTTCAGATAAAAGCTGTGTGTGCAGAGGTTGTGCTTATTTGAATGAGTAAAACACATGAGGGGAAATGAGTCTGATTTAGAGTTCTAATAGTGTGAGTTAAAAGTTAAAAAGGTAAATTTGTACCACATTGTGAATTCTAGGTGAAGATGCTACTCTGGAATTAAAATTATTTTGGTTAAGGCATAGATATCTCACCATATTTTGGTGAGATATCTAACTAGAAAGGTATTTACACAAAAAGATGAGAATTTAAAATAGTCTAACAAAGGGCAATAGATAAATACTTTTTATAAAGTGAAGAATACATTTGCAGTGTGAATAAAACTAAACGTCTGATTTTTGTGTTGAAAGAAATATGGTATAGTGAATGACATTTGAAGAATTTGTAGTTATACCTACCTCAGTTTAAATACCTGCTCTGCCATTTCATACCATGTGTCCTTGGGCAAGTGATGGGAACTCGGAGTTTCTGGAGAAAGGAACATATCGTCTAGCAGTGTTGCGGGGGCTAAATGAGAATATGGAAAGCTCGTGGTCTAGTGCCTAGTACATGTTAAGTATTCAATAAATGTTTTTAAAAAAGGACTTCATAAGCTCTTTGTTTTTCAAATAGATTTAAGATTTCCTGCAATTAAAATCAAACTTGATCACTTTATCCAATACAGAAAATATTAGGTACAATTATGAAGTTGCTCTTTATTGCCTACATAATGACTCTATTTTATATATTGATAAAAGTATTTTCTCATTCCTAACACTTAATAAGTATATTCTGTCTCCTACTGATCATCCCTTTTGTTCTTATTACAGATCAACGTACGAGTAACCACCATGGATGCTGAGCTGGAATTTGCCATTCAGCCCAATACAACTGGCAAACAACTTTTTGACCAGGTATGATTTAGCCACATGAAGTGTGCATCTTTTGATGCTGTAATTTGGAAGCTGGAAGAAGTCGGATGCAACTTCTTTCTCTGTTTGCCTGTACTTGTACTGATAATGCAGTAGTGTAGCACTTGGGATTTTCACAGTACCTGTTCAGATATCTTGAACAGCTGTAGTGACATTCTTATTCTTTCTCATTCCTAGATTTGAGGAATAGGACTTTTTAAAAAATAATTGTGGGGGCTGGCCCGGTGGCGCAGCAGTTAAGTTCACGCATTCCGCTTTGGCGGCCTGGGGTTCACCGGTTCGGATCCTGGGCACGGACCTACTCACTGCTCATCAAGCCATGCTGGGGCAGTGTCCCACATAGAAGAGTTACAACTCTGCAACTATGATACACAGCTATGTACTGGGGCTTTGGGGAGAAAAAAGGAAAAGAGGAAGATTGGCAACAGATGTTAGCACAGGGCCAGTCTTCCTCAAAAAACAAACAAAATAATCATGAGCAGGTATTTAACATCTGCTATGCAAATCATTGTAATGAGGACTAAAAGGAATTCAAAGATATTCTATATGGTGGAATGGGTGGAGATCCTAGACAGAGGAGAAGGCAGGAGCAAAGGCACAGGGAGTTATAGGCTAAAGTAGGCACCTGACAGCAGTTTGGTGTCACAAGCTCATAACATGCTAGCCTGGGGTTAGAACATGGATGTCATGTTAAGGAACTTGGACTACTGATCTTATCTCTTTTCTCACTCTTGAGTGCACATTTGAGTCACCTGTGGAGCTTTGGGGAAAAAAAAGGCAATGCTTGGAAACCACCTCCAGAGATTCTGATTTAATTGTCTGGGGCCTGCTCTAAACCATTAGTATTTTTTAATTTAAGCTCCCCAGGTGATGCTGTATGTAATGTTGTAAGTAATCAAGTTTTATGGAGAAAAGGAGGAAAGAGATTGGTGCCCAGAGGTCAAACTGATGATTGCAAAGAGGAGAAAGGTGATGTATCCTGCATGGCAGGAGACTTAGAGGCAGAGAACTTGTACGTATGAGCAGGAGCGCAATAGTCTATGGTCAGACTAACTTGACCTTAGAAAATGGGAGAGAGAGTTTCTGGCATTACAGCAGTAAATAACCCATTAGGTATCTTGGTTTTATTAGTTGTCATTCTGTCATATACTGATCCAAAATATGAAATAAAATTTTATTAATAAAAAAATTAATAAAGTTTCTTTTTTTGACGAAGTAGTATACTTAATCTCCTGATTAGGTAATTAATGATCTTGAAAGCCCTGATAAGGTCATTTTGGAAGATGAAAGGCTTTCTTTTGTGAGTGAGCAAATTTTTAAAGCAAAATCATAAGCAGCTACATGACCCTACATTATAGATATTTTACCTTGTGAACTAATATCCGTTTCTGTTGATTCTCTATAGCCTCCTGTTTGTAAATATATAGACTTATCTTTTTTGAATAAAAATGTGAATGGAGTTAGCATTTATTGTACTTCATAGCAAGTTGAAATGTTATTTATAGTAAGCAAAATGTTTGTGGTAGTCAAAAACTAATCAGCAAGTGGGCCTTTTTGGTATTGGATACCGAGAAGTATTTGTTTTTTTATTAAGTAGAATTGCTTTAGTTTGCATACCAGGGAGAATGGAGCCTCATTTATTATAGTGCAGTAATGTGTAATAGTTTAGAAGTGTGGGCTCTGGAGCCACGCTGCCTGCAGTAGAGTCCCAGCTGTAGCTGTTTGACTTTGGACAAATTAGTCTCTTTGCCTCATTTTTTCTTATTTGTACAGTCGGGATGATGATAACATTACTCCTCAGAAGGTTGTTGTGTGAATTAAATGAGAATCCATGTAAGGTACATAGAACAGTGTTTGATATATACATACACACAACATATATATATTTCATATTGTAAATGAAGGTCTAGATTAAGGAGTATTGTTATTTGTTAGAGGTTCTCTCAGCAATTAATTCTTTTTTTGTGTGTGAGCAAGATCAGCCCTGAGCTAACATCCATGCCAGTCCTCTTTTTTTTGCCGAAGAAGAGTGGCCCTGAGCTAACATCCATGCCCATCATCCTCCACTTTATGTGGGACGCTGCCACAGCATGGCCTGACAAACAGTGCATCGGTGCGCGCCTGGGATCTGAACCTGGGCTGCCAGCAGCGGAGCGCACGCACTTAACCGCTACGCCGTGGCCCCAGCAATTAATTCTCATAGTCACTGTTCTGTTTCCTGACACTTCTCTTGAGCCTGAATTCGAGGATCTAAAAGCAGGCTTTACCTTGGATGTAGTGAGTATATGGGGTGATACTCATGCCTACCTGGAGCTGGCAGGTAGATAGGTTCAGGGTCAGGCCAGGAGCAAAGCTAGAGGAAGGGTCCTCAAATGAGGTGCATAGCTACATGAGTCCACCTGTAGCACAGCCTCACTTCTGATTATGATGTTAGCGTGAGGCCAGCTGCGGGTGTAGGGGCTCTACTCGAGTGCTTGAGGTCCTTTGGTTTGCTCCTTGCTGACTCTTCCTTTGCTAGCCTCCTCTTCCGGCTTCTGTCTGGGCGATTAAAGTAGAGGGTATTCATACTCCCAAGGAGTGCTCAACGTGGTCTGTTAGGATGCAAGAAAAAAGTGGTAAAATGTCTGTTTATATTTTTGTCTTTTCTCTTTCAAATTATTTTTTAAATATATGGTTTATAATGGATTAGTGTGATAGCATGTGTATAATTTATAAGTAAATATATAAATATTGTAGTTTTATGTCCCCAAGCATTTTTTTACTTATAAAAGTAAGTGATTGAAAGTTTCCGAGAACAGCTCCAAAAGAAGTAGGGAAAGAGCTGCTGAGGAGATGGGGCCTCTCAAGGAATTTCACAGCTGAGCTCTTTTGTTCTTCCTGGTGTTGTGATAAAGTTAAGGTACTGTCCCTTGTGCCTACCGTGGCAAATCCCTCTTTGATTTAGCCAGCATTGTGAGTCACACAAAGCCTGGAGGCAAAAGCTGAGGCCACCTTCTTTGACACACTGCTCTCCGTTGCTCTTGACCTGTGTAAATTCTCTAGTCATGCCACTCTGAACTGGAATGCTTTCTGTGGCTCTGTTGGGACAGTCTATCTTTTGCCAAAATTAAATTATCGGGGATCTCTTGTGTCTACATTAAAATTTTGGTTATTTGGCATTGATCTGCTTTTGCATCAGTATGAGTCTTTGTGTTCCATATCATCCAGAAATTTCTCGGCTTTTGTTTTTTTGATGGTAACCTTTACTAGCACAGCTAAATGTTATTTCTTATTTTTAATTTTTTTTGTGTGTCATTACAGTGAAGTTTTTCAAGAGAGGGAAGGTAAACTGAAGGGTTTGGTTTGCTATCTTGAAACCAAAAGCCTGGCATGTTTTAGATTTAAAAAAAGCAAGAAAAGTAAATGAAGAATGTTTATCACTTAAGAACTAATGTTGACTCTTTCTCTAAAGCTTTTAAAATGTTGATAAATTCTCACCTCCCCGGCTCGTTTCCCTCATTTTAAATATAGGGGGAAAAAAAACCCCACACATACTTTTGTTAAGTGTTAGTACAATCCTGGGTATGGGTTCTAGCTCACCACTTCATTTACTCAACACTTTTGAGTGCCTACCACAGGATAATCATTCTTTGAAATAAAATGGATATTAAGATAAGGCAGTAATCTCTGTCAAGGAGGGTAAATAAACACACTACTCATAATACAGTTAATTATGACAGTAAATGTTCTAATAGCAGTATAGATAGATTATTATGGGAACATCAAGGAACAAGTTATTAATTTTATGTAGATGATAAGAGAACTTCATTCACAGAAGACATGTTAGTTGAGCTGGGCCTTGAATAAATTATTCAACAGGTGGTAAAAGTACAGAAGAAACATTCTAGGTAGAGGAAAAAGCATGAGTAAAGCTGTAGAAGGGTAAAATTTATGGCATGTTCCAAGGATGGTTTCTTGCTCAGTGAGGGAAGAACACAGAATGTATGGTGGTAAGTGAAGGGAAGTTGGCGTGGGGGTGAAATCACCAGCTGGAAAGCCTGGGGCCTGGCGTGTAAATGTCCTCAGAGACTCTTATCACCAAGATGATAACTGTTTGCCTTGCCTACCTGTGGGGGTAAATTGAACTAGGAAAGAGACTATGACAGCTCTGTATGTATTTCCCAGACCTTTCTTATCTGTTGGGGTCATGATGGGAGATGAGAAGGAAAGGAAGTATAAAAAAGTGGATCAACAAATAGGATTGAAAGGACACTGCAAAATTTAACATACAAAACCTAAATTTAAGTTTTCAGAAATGTTCTTTTAATTAATATGTTAAATTTAGGAAAGATCTTCTCTACAGCAAAGGAACATACCTCTGTAGTTTTGTTCTTCTTTGAAGTGTAGTGCCATCTAGATACAATGTGAATGCTGAACTGAAATTGACTTTTTTTTTTTTTAAGGTGGTGAAAACAGTTGGTTTGCGTGAGGTCTGGTTTTTCGGGCTGCAGTATGTGGACAGCAAAGGTTATTCTACGTGGCTTAAACTAAATAAAAAGGTAAAATATGTATGATAACATTAGCTAATAATTAAGTTACTTTGAAGTTATCCTGATCATGAATTTGTGCCAGAAAAGCTCAGAGTCTTACTGATTTCAGGCCTTCTTTTGCAGTTATCTCTGTGAATCATTAAAGGTATCATGTCTTTTAATTCAGTAAGGCACCATCAACTTATCGTCTTAGAAAATAGAAATGTTCACTTTGCCTATCTGAAAACTGAACACACAGGAAATATTATCAGGTGTAACTTAGTACTTTGAGTTTGATTTAAACATCTGTGGGATAAGCTTCTCAAGAGAAGTTTCCACGTGGTTATTAGATAGGATCTGTGAGTTACAGATCACATGAGCATAGAATCTTTTTTCTCACATGTATTTTTTGTAGGTTTTGAGTCTTACACACTAGAATCTTACTTATAGATTTAGAATCTTACTTACGTTTCACATCTGAATTTCTTCCAAAAAGAATTTGATGTGACTAGGTTCAGTTATTGTGAACTTCAGACTTTTGTTGATTATACTTGAAATTACTATTTCAGGTGACACAGCAAGATGTTAAAAAAGAGAATCCTTTACAGTTCAAGTTTAGAGCTAAATTCTTTCCTGAAGATGTTTCTGAGGAATTAATTCAAGAAATAACCCAGAGACTTTTCTTCTTGCAAGTTAAAGAAGCTATCTTAAATGATGAGATATATTGCCCGCCAGAAACCGCAGTGCTTTTGGCTTCCTATGCTGTCCAAGCCAAGTATGGAGATTATAATAAAGAGATTCATAAACCAGGCTACCTGGCTAATGATAGACTCCTACCACAGCGGTAAGTGAAACTTGCTTTTATGTTAATATCCTTTGGAAAATTATATTTCAGAAGTTTGTAAATAGATTTTTTTTTTTTTTTAGATTTTAAGTTCCTGGCTGGATCAGAGAGTATACTTTTAAAAATCATGACCCAGGGGCCGGCCCGGTGGCGCAAGCAGTTAAGTGCGCGCACTCCGCTGCGGCGGCCCAGGGTTCGCCAGTTCAGATCCCGGGTGCGCACCAATACACTGCTTGGCGGGCCATGCTGTGGCGGCATCCCATATAAAGTGGAGGAAGATGCGCATGGATGTTAGCCCAGGGCCAGTCTCCCTCAGGAGAAAAAAGAGGAGGATTGGCAGATGTTAGCTCAGGGCCGATCTTCCTTACAAAAAAAAAAAAAAATCATGACCCAGTAGCTACATAGATTTATATACTCTGTAATTACCTGAACTTTCTGCCTCTTCTCTCCTCATTCCCACAAGATAAGCAATAAATGGAGGTAGTGATAATTCGGGCTTGAGGGAGGATGTGACTGTTGCTGCTTGGTAAAAATTCTTAAACAAGCAGATAGGTGCTTAATAAATGCTTTTGAGAATAATGGGTGCCAGGCTATGTTTCCTCCATAGAATTAAAAGTAACTTTCTAACTTTTTGAAAGGCATTTTAAACTCAGTTTTCAGATTCCTAGTCTAGTGCTCTGTTCTTATCGGCAGTATACTGCTGCCTTGATAACCGTTATTTTAAAGTAGCATGAGATAGGAAAAAATCATTAGAAGACCTAGATTTTGAGTACTAATTCTATCCTTTGGTAGTTATGTGACCTTAGGTGCATAGCCTAAAATCTCTGAGCCTTGGTATCTGAATCTGCAGAATGGGAAAAATAATTCTGCTCTGCTTACCTTACAGTTTATGATTACAGTCATGAACTGTATGGTTTACAGTTTTAACTGTAAAATGAGATACAAGTGTTAGTTGGTAGTATTATTTAGGAAATCTAGAAATTACAACATCAAATGTTACTTTTAGATATCTCAGTTCTTAATTGTAGTAGCACACATGTCCCTGATACTAGAATGTACATGGAGATCTTTCTTTTAGAAGCTGGAGAGAAGTTGTTACTGTTCTTAGTCCAAATTCTTGAATTTTAAAATTTCTATTTAAATGCAAAACTATATATTATTAACCTAAAATTTCAGTTCTGCACCACTTCCTCATAGTATTTAAACTCTTAGATGTAGTTTCTTTTTCATAGGTACTAAATATGAAGAAAGACATTCTACTTCATGTTCACTTTTGTTAATTTCCTTTGGTGGTAGGCATTACATTTATTTTTAGCTAATAAATTGTATTCTGTTGATATCTGCTTTTAAGGTACCATTAAGTACAGTAGCTTCAATATTTGATCATTAAATGTTACACTGTTCTGCCCTTTAATATTAGTGCAATGATAGTTATCTTAGAGGGTAAAATAATGCATGTTGATCACCATAAGAAGCAGGAATATGAGATACTTTTAGTCTGTATGTTTGTCTGGTTTTGACTAATTATTATTCCAACCCAAAATTCTTTCTCTTGGACTAAATTGAGTGTAATTGATTACTGGCACAGTAGAATTCCATTTCAGATAAGGATTAATTTTTATTTTTAATTGAGGTATAATGTATATATAGTAAAATGCATAGCGGATTAGGTTTTAAATCAGTACATAAAGTAATATTATGTTAAGGTAAATTACCCTTAAATTTCTTAATTGTTCATAAAAGAATTAGGCATGCTTTATCTCAACAAGTATGACATAGTTGTTCTTTCAGTGTTAGATCACATTGCTGTTTGAGCACTAGATGAAATAATTTGCTTACATTTAATTGTCTATATGATTTAAAAAAATCTTTTAAACACTGGATCACACATAAGCACAATTAATTTAATTTATTTTAATTACATGTGTGCTATAATCTCTAAAAAGGGAAGATAGCATCTGTTTTTCAAGATTTGGTATTTAATTTTGAAGTTCTAGACAATCAAGCGTTCTTCAAGTTGATAGTATCTAGAGGACTAATTCAAGCTATCTAAGCTTAAAAGAGACTTACTTATAAAGTCAGAATACTAATTTTTTGGTTTAGAACGGAGAAAATACCTTCATGGTGATTGACTTATTCCATGTATGATGTATAGCACACCTTTTCTCACTATGTGAGTACCTGGTAGGAGGAATTAATAATCAAAAGGTTATTTGGTGACCGTAAATCAGATACAATAATTTGATGATTTTAATAGATGCTTTTAATTCGTGTATTGAAAAACCCAGGTAAGCAATCTATTCCCTCACAGTAGAATTCAGCTGTCTGTTGATATGGATAATCAGCTTCACCAGATGGTATCTTTCTCCTTTAAAAAGAGCTAGATATATATAAATTTTTACATGCCAGGTTTCTGACTTGGGCATCTGGGTGGTTGGTAATACCTTTTTGCCAAGATACGGAGAGAAGGAATACATTTCAGAGGAGGAAGATTTCAATTTTGAACTTACTGAGTTTGAAATATCTATAGTATAACCAAGAGAGATTGCTAGTCTTCATTTATAGATGTGAGTCCGGATCTTGAGAGCAGTCTGAACTATAGATACAGTTTTGGGAGTGATCAGCAAATAGGTGATAATGAACCTATGAGGATGAAAGAGATGGACCTGAAAGTACATGTAGAATGAGGAAAAGGCCTAGGAGAGACCTTGTTGAAACTTAGCTTTTGAGTACAGAGGAAGAGGTTCCTGTAAAGTATATTGAGAAAAAATGGCCAGTGAGTCAAGAATAATACCGGAGGAGTGCACGTCATGGGAAGCCAAGGTAAAAGAATGCTTCAAGGAGAGACTGGTCAGCAGTGTCAGATAGTACAGAGAAGTCGAGTATGAGGAGAGCTAATGTATCTGTTGGGTTTAACAATGAGATTGGTACTAATCTTAGTAAGAGCAGTTTCAGTAGAGTGTTTTTGATTGAAGCCAGATTGTAGTGGACTGGGGGCAGAGGATGTGAGGTATGGAAATGAAGGATAGTGAATATAGATAGTTCTCTAAAGAAGTTTGGCTGTGAAAAGAAAAAAAACTAGGAATAGGGAGGCATGGGTTAATAGACTTATTCTTTAAAAGATGGGAAAGAATTGATTTAATTTGTTTATTCACTCTACAAATTTTTGAGTACGTCTTCAATGCTGGCACTGGGCATATAGTGGTAAGTAACATGAATGTGGTTTTTGCCCTCTGTAACACAAACAAATATATATGATAATATATTTAGGCAGGGGACAGAAAATATGTTCCATGTCATAAATGATGGAGTGAAGATCCTAAGACAGTGGAGAGAGAAGTCATTTAAAAGCCCAGGTAGACAGATTTGAAGCCAAGTTGAACAGATTATCCTTGGGTGTGAAGAAGTACTCCTTTGTGCTGGACAGAAGAAAAAGAAGGTGGGAATCTTTGGCTACCTGCAAACCAGTCATGCAGATTAATAATACAAGTACATTATGCAAAATGCGAACAAGTGAGATTTGAAATGCAGGATATAAAAGCTACAACATAAATCTTAGTGGCATTTAGTTTAATTAACCCATACCTTCAGATTTAGTTAACATCGTGATACCAGCCAGTTGGCTATGCTGATTATGCCCTCAAAGCTAATTGTATTCCTTTTGGTGAGCGCAGAGGCCAGACAGCAAGAGAGTATAAAGATAAGAAAAATGTGGAAACTTATGTACTCTAAGGAGGAAGACAAAACTCCTCTCCCAAAAAGTAAGAGCTTAAAAGAGAATACGTAGAGAAAGGAGCAGTGAGTAGTAAGAGGATAGTGGTCTGAGACCCTATTAAGGAATCCACTCTAAACAGTCAGTAACTTGTCCAAGGGAATATTCCACCCTAAGATTCCTTTATACTGCCAAGAAATCCCTAGGTTTCATGTAAAATTTTTACATAGTAAAGCAATAATACTTTAACACTACAGCTTTTGCTATCAGTGAAGTAGGATCTGAGGATTCACCAATAAAGAAAGGTGGATAATTATAGACTCAAAGAGAATAGAAATACATAATCTGTAATGTATGCCAAGTAAATTATATGCATGTTGAATTTGCTGATTTGGTGTTAAAATAGTAGTAGAAAATAAGAATATTTGTTTGTGTTTGCTTATATTTGCATAAGGGACACTGGAAGGATACAAAAGAAACTAATAAAAAATTTCGGAGGGCGTGGAGTGGTGAAAAAAGTATGACTTTTCACTTGTATATTTTTATATAAAGTATTACCTATAGAAAATAACAAAATTTAGCAGCAAAGTAAATACATAAAATAAAAGAAGAATTAAGGCCTATGAATTCTGATTTTCAATCTCCTCTTCTCTAATTTTTCCGTTAATAATGAGAAAGTCATTTTTTTTTTTTTTCTGAGGAAGATTTTCCCTGAGCTAACATCTATTGCCGGTATTCCTCTTTTGTTTTTTTGATTGAGGAAGATTAGCCCTGACCTAACGTCTGTGCCAATCTGCCTCTATTTTTTTTTTCTTTTTTAATATGTGGTTCGCCGCCACAGCATGGCTGATGAGAGGTGTAGGTCCATTCCCAGGATCTGAACCTGCGGAACTGGGCCATTGAAGCAGAGCACACCGGACTTAACTGCTACGCCACGGGGCTGGCCCTGAGAAAGTCATTTTGTCCAATATTTTATTCATTTGAAACATTTGAATTCCCATAAGCTATCTGTATAATAACTTTTAAAAACATGTATTTAGGGCCGGCCCCATGGCTTAGCAGTTAAGTGCGCGCGCTCCGCTGCTGG